TTTCATCACAAGGACGAAATTATGTTTATGTACCTTTTTCATAGAGATTAAATCTGTTTTTTATATAACCAACTAAAATAAGCACTTTTTTTTTTGAGATGGAGTTTCACTCTGCTCCCCAGGCTGGAGTGCAGTGGCATAATCCCTGCTTACTGCAGCCTCTGCCTCCTGGGTTCAAGCAATTCTCCTGCCTCAGCCTCCCGAGTAGCTTGGACTGTAGGCACCCATCACCACACCCAACTAATTTTTTGTGTTTTTAATAGAGGTGGAGTTTCACCATGTTGACCAGGCTGGTCTCAAATACCTGACCTTAGGTGATTCACCCACTTTGGCCTCCCAAAGTGCTGTGATTACAAGCATGAGCCACCACACCTAGCCTGTATGCTGTGTGTGTGTGTGTGTGTGTGTGTGTGTGTGTGTGTGTGAGAGAGAGAGAGAGAGAGAGAGAGAGAGAGAGAGAGAGAAAGAGGCAGGGTTATCCTCTGTCACCTAGGCTGGAGTGCAGTAGCATGATGACAGCTCACTGCAGCCTTGACCTCCCTAGATTAGTGATCCTCCCACCTTAGCTTCCCGCGTACCTGGGATTACAGGTGCATGCCACCATGCCCAGCTAACTTTTTAATATTTTGTAGCGATCAGGTCTCACTATGTTACCCAAGCTGGCCTCAAACTTCTGGCCTCAAGTGATCCTCCACCTCAGCCTCCCAAAGTGCTGGGATTACAGATGTAAGGCACCATGACTGAGTTTCTAATTCATGCAGCATGATAAATCTAAGAGACATAAGACTGAGCAAAAGAAGTTCAAGGACATGAAAAACTAATCTATAAGGATAGAAAGCAGAGAAACAGTTGCCTTTGGAGAGCAGGGTGGCTGAAAGTGGGTATGAGAGCTCTTTCTGGGATGATGAAAATGTTCCATATCTTATAAGGATTTGAGTGATATAGCTTTAAAGATTTGTTAAAATTCAGTAAACTGTACCTTTAAGTTCATGCATTTTACTCTCTGTGATTATGCATCAATAAAAATTTGCAAAGGTGCAAGCCCCAAGTTTGGCAAGAGGCTAAGAGCTGCAGAGATAACCAAAAGGAAAAACTGGGCAAAATGCCCTGTTTTCCTGGGCAAACAGGGCATTTTGCAAAGTGACCTGGAGAGAAGTCACATCCCTGGGAATAGAGCTGATAAAATTCTCTTTGCTAGAAATCTGAATTCTGACGAATTGCCAAAGCAGAGACTGAGAATGAGGGTCTGGAAACAAATAAGTACAAAGCACGATCCCAAAACAGATCAGGAGATCCAAGGACAGTGGGAGACATGCAAATAAGATCAATAGAATGTGTTAGACACAAAGGAAGCAAGCTCTAAGCCAACCAGAGTACACCTGCTCTCAGCCATATCAGACCAATCGTCTTGGTAATCCTCTTGTACTTCCTTTCATGATTATTGTAAATATTTGACCTGAACTAATTCTATAGCAAACTCTGTTGAGTTTTTGTTCCATCAGGTGGATTCAGGCATTCTCGGCTGATCTTAGTGTAGTCTTCCTTAAGTCTTGAGTTAAACAGAAATAAAAGGTGATAATTATTGAGGACTTAAACCAGGTGCTGGACCCCATGCTGAGTACTCAACATGCTTTGATTCATTGAATCTTGCCCCACCCATGAAGTAGGCATTGACAACAGAACTCCTCTTTTACAGATGAAGAAACTGAGGCTTAATGGAATAAAAATGTGTCTATAGTTACAGAGGTAGAAAGTGAGAGGCGGGAGTCAAACCTAGGCCATGGGACCCCAGAGATGATGAACTTACCATAGTGCTCTATTACCCCCTCCAGGTATTTTTCAAAGTGGATTGAAGCTACCCAACCACTATAGAATCAAGGAGACTAGAACTCTTACACTACATGTAAACAACAAAAACATAGACAAAGAAGCCGTGGGCAGCCAGGACCAAGAAAGCTTACTACCCAAGGGCTCGTTTATTCATTCATTTGTTCAACAAACATTTAAGATGCCAGCTGTATGTTAGGCATTGCTTCCCACTGGCAAAACTAGAACTGAGAACCAAAAGCTATTCTACATCATTTTGGTGGCAACACCCTACTCCAAAATGTACTCATAGATCACAAAGCAGAAAACTATGACCTAAAAGTCAATATCCCTTTTAGAAGTGTGGAAACACAAATGCAGTGTCAGTGTAGCATAAGCTAAAAATATGTAGAGTGGCAGCCACAGACAATTTGGTATAGGGGTGAACACTCCATCCTGCTCAAGAGGCCATCTCTTCTCCCTGAACAGATTCATCGGGTTCTATGATTACCTCGTCATGCAGAAATTGATCGTTAATCAATGTTGCCTAAGAAACACATAGAATAACCAATCAAGACAGACTCCTCTACGACAAAGCTCTGGGAAATTGCTGGCATATTGTCATTGACTGATTGCTGAGACACTGCTTTCCTGGGCAGAGAGGGGGGTGCAGGAGGGATGACAATAGGATGCAAAAACTGATACTACAGGATAAGCGAAATTGATGAGACTGCACAAAAGGCATGTAGAATAAATGCTGTGGAATGGCAGTGTCACATACTGAAGCAGCGAGATCAGGATGGCATTCTGGCTCTACCACCACTAGTGGTGAGGGTCTCACTTTGGTATCTCAATGCCCTCTCCAGACTGTTTTCTTACCTGTAAAATGCAGTGAAATAATTCCTGTAATGCCACACTCATGAAGTTATTGATAAATGTGTGTGAAATTGTCATATAAACTGTGAAAGCATAAAAATCAAGGTATTTGGATTGGGGGTGGTGGTGTCTATCTACCTAAAATTCTGACCCAATTAAGAACTAGGGGATTGGAAGTATCCGAATGCCAGCTTCATTGGTTGAGTCGGCTGTTGAACCTTGTATAGTGTATGTTTCACGAAGTTCTCGTGTTGTGTTTTTTAGCTCCATCAATTCATTTATATTCTTCTCTAAGCTGTTTATTCTTATTAGCATTTTGTCAAACCTTTTTTCAAGGTTCTTAGTTTCTTTGCATTGGGTTAGCGCATGTTCTTTTAGCTCAGAGAAGTTTGTTATCACCTACTTTCTGAAGCCTGTTTTTGTCAATTCATCAGACTCATTCTCCATCCAGCCTTGTTCCCTTGCTGGTGAGCAGTTGTGACCCCTTGGAGGAGGA